CTCCCCATGAAGCGCAAATATGAAGCACAAAATATGGGAAGAGAACAATGGCAAACCGGGGGATTATAAGAAGCACAAAAAATGGGAAGGGAACAATGGCAAGCCGGGGGATATAAGAAGCACAAAAAATGGGAAGGGAACAATGGCAAGCCGGGGGATATAAGAAAGCCAGGGGGATATGAGCGGGGAGAAAGGGAACGGGGAAAGGGAAAGGTATTCAGTAATACCCCACTCAGTTTCTCTTTACCTGGTTATTCCCAGTTTCAAATGCTACGCGGTAAACGGTTTACGTCAGTCTCTCACAGATGGTGTCGGCCTACGCGTTACAGTTTGTATAATAATAACTTCCCTTTTTCTGCATAATAACTTATATACGCTTGAAGAATGATTATTTCTCAACACAATGCTGTTTCCCCATCTCATGTGGACACCTGCATCCCGAGATGTAGACGGTTTCTTGAAATAGATGACATGTCAATGTTGTCCAATTTGCAGCAAAGTAGATGACATGTGGGAGATTAACATGCCAGCAATATATCTGCATGTTGGCCAACATATACCTAGCCTACTGTTCTCTGCCAATCAATATTGAGTTGTAACAACCTAAACTTATGCTCCTTGTATACATAATCAATGAATCATAAGTTCCAACTAAATATTGATTGGCAAAGAACAATGAGTAAGTTGGCCAACAGAGAGATTGCTGGTATGTTAATCTCCTTTCATCCACTTTGCTGCAAATTGGACCACATTGACATAATTATCATCCCTTTCAATTAACTGTCTATATCCTAGTCCAGCGGATATGTGACAAAATATCGATGAATTGTGCACTTTTGCATAAAAGCGTAAAACTTGGCACAGATGTTTATATTCATGCGAGAAAATGTTTTAGCTGTGGAGCCATCGCAAATTTACCCTTTTAGGGGCGTGGCATCCATTTAAAAAAGGGGGGCGGGACTTGTCGTGCCCGCAGTAAAAATGGTTTTTCCCACTTGTTACAAAAGCAGGAAACTTCACAAAGACATAATTATATAGATTATTAGTGTTTTCCAGATTCGGAGCCACCACAAAAGTACCTTTTTAGGGGCGTGGCAGCCATTAAAAGAAAAGGGGGGGTTTAATTATTATGCCCACTTTGGAAAACATTGTGCACATATTTCATGAACGAATAAAAACGTCCCACAGACGTTTATATTCATGAGAAAAAAAATTCCAGATGTGGAGCCATCTCGAACACACCCTTTTAGGGGCGTGGCAACCATATAGGAAAAAAAAGGGGGGCGGGGTTTTCATTATGCCCACCCTGGAAATATTGTTCCCACACTCATAGAGAAATGGAACTTTCCACAAACATTGACATTCATGAGAAAACAAATTCCAGATGTGGAGCCATCTCGAACACACCCTTTTAGGGGCGTGGCAACCATATAAGGAAATAAAGGGGGGCTGGGTTTTCATTATGCCCACCCTGGAAATATTGTTCCCACACTCATAGAGAAATGGAACTTTCCACAAACATTGACATCCATGAGAAAACAAATTTCAGATGTGGAGCCATCTCAAACACACCCTTTTAGGGGCGTGGCAACCATATCAGAAAAAGGGGGGGGCGGGGTTTTCATTATGCCCACCCTGGAAATATTGTTCCCACATTCATAGAGAAATGGAACTTTTCACAGACATTGAGATTCATGATAAAAACAATTCCAGATGTAGAGCCATCGCGAACACACCCTTTTAGGGGCGTGGCAGCCATATTGAAAAAGGGGGGGCGGGGTTCTCATTATGCCCAACATGGGAAAAATGTGCCCACATCTCATAAACGAATGAAGCTAATTTCCACAGACATTAATACTCACGAGATAAAAATCACACGTGGAGCCATCGTAAGCACACCCTTTTAGGGGCGTGGCAGCCATAATAAAATGGGGGGGGGTAGTCATGATGCCCCTATAAAAGAAAGTTGTGCCTACCTTTCATAAATGGATTAAATTCCACTCGGACAATACATTCATAAAAATCTTCTTTTTTTTAATGTGAGGCCATCACAAACCTACCCTTTTAGAGGTGCGGCATCCATTTTTAAAGGGGGGGGGGGTACTCAATATGCACAACGTGGAAAATTTTGACCGCGTTTCATATAATAAAATCCACCCCATATAGCTGTTTAATGTGTTGGAGTAGGGCCGCCTTTATAGTTGGAATTTACTGTTGGCAAACCCTTTGTTTTCTTACACTATGCATTCTGGCCTCATCTATATTAACCCAGTTACTGGTTCTTTAGTCTGAAGAATTATTGATAACCTTTCAACTGCATCAATATCTGAATTAGGGGTATAAACTGGGGTACCTCAGTTAGTCCTGGAAAGACTAGTGTTACTTCTTCAAATACATTGTTTCCCCTGCCTTTTTTTCTGACAGACCAAAAGGCATATGCAGTGTCGCATCTATATAACGTATAATTTTTTTTAATGGATTTGGTCGGGGTAAAAAAAAAACACTCATAAGAGCTTGATATACCATTTTTAAGAGCACAGAGGGGTTGTGTGGTGGGGGTACACAGATTCATTGAATGTGAAGTCATAGTGGACGTGTCCACCACTTTGTGAGGCGAGTACATCGTGTTGTTACCCAATCTGCTGTCAATGCGGCGCAACGGGTAAGGGGTAGGGGGATTTTACACTCCCCCCGTAAAAAAAGGATTTCCATGGCCCTTTAATGTAAATGTTAGAGTTTAGGGCTGCCATTGTGTGCTGTGTATTTGTAATTATGAAATCACTCTGGAATTTAGATGTGCATGATAATATAGGTGCAAGTACACACATTGAACAATATAACACAGGTTAGCCTACCGGTACTTACCCATGCTCTTTGGGGTAAGTCATTGTATTACCAAATAATATAGGTTATGGGCCAATCCACATTATAAGAAATCAACAACAAAATATAAAAATTGCAATTGTGGGCACAGTGAGTAGGCCCCTCACACCTCTAAAAGGATGAGTTTGCTGTGGCTCTACATAAGAACTTTCTTTTATAGGGGGATCTTGACTAACCCCCCCCCCATTTTACTATGGCTGCCACGCCCCTAAAAGGGTGTGTTTACGATGGCTTCACGTGTGACTTTTTTTTTCTCTTGAATATTAATATCTGTGGGAATTAGCTTTATTCGTTTATGAGATGTGGGCACATTTTTTTCCCATGTTGGGCATAATGAGAACCCCGCCCCCTTTTTTTCAATATGGCTGCCACGCCCCTAAAAGGGTGTGGTCGCGATGGCTCCACATCTGGAATTGTTTTTATCATGAATGTCAATGTCTGTGGAAAGTTCCATTTCTCTATGAATGTGGGAACAATATTTCCAGGGTGGGCATAATGAAAACCCCGCCCCCCTTTATTTCCTTATATGGTTGTCACGCCCCTAAAAGGGTGTGTTCGAGATGGCTCCACATCTGGAATTTGTTTTCTCATGAATGTCAATGTTTGTGGAAAGTTCCATTTCTCTATGAGTGTGGGAACAATATTTCCAGGGTGGGCATAATGAAAACCCTGCCCCCCCCCTTTTTTTCCTATATGGTTGCCACGCCCCTAAAAGGGTGTGTTCGAGATGGCTCTACATCTGGAATTTTTGTTCTCATGAATATAAACGTCTGTGGGATGTTTTGTTCGTTCATGAAATGGCACAATGTTTTCCAAAGTGGGCATAATAATTATACCCCCCCTTTTCTTTTAATGGCTGCCACGCCCCTAAAAAGGTACTTTTGTGGTGGCTCCGAATCTGGAAAACACTAATAATCTATATAATTATGTCTTTGTGAAGTTTCCTGCTTTTGTAACAAGTGGGAAAAACCATTTTTACTGCGGGCACGACAAGTCCCGCCCCCCTTTTTGTAAATGGATGCCACGCCCCTAAAAGGGTAAATTTGCGATGGCTCCACATCTAAAATATTTTCTCGCACGAATATAAACATCTGTGCCAAGTTTCACGCTTTTATGCAAAAGTGCACAATTTTTTCACATATCCGCTGGACTTAATCCCTGGATGTAGGTGACAAAATGAGATAAGGAAAACAGCATTGTGTATTGAGAAATAATCATTTTTAAAGCGTATATACGTTATTATGAAACAAAATAGGAGCTAGTTATTTTAAATATTTTTTCTCTCTAAATGTATCATTTTTGTTTATACACACTGTACATGTATGTATACAACTCAGAATTAGGGCGAATTGGAAAAAAAAATCGGAAGGAGTATGCAAACTTTTCCCCCTTTTTTTCGTTTGGAAGGTCAGAGCACGAAGCTGTATTTAAGGATGGTGAAAACATTTCTCTCCCTTCAGCTAACTCAAACGTACGACATAACGTGCACGTACCACATAATATATCTCGTACGGTACGACTTATATATCGCACGTACGACTTATATCTTGCACGTACGACTTATATCTCGTACGGTACGACTTATTTCTCGCGCGTACGACTTACATCTCGCACGTACGACTTATATGTCGCACGTACGACTTATATCTGGTAGGTACGGCTTATTATCTCGTACCAACGACTTAAATCTCGTGCGTATGACTTATATGTCGTATACGTACGATATTCGTACATACGAGATATGAGTTCTACGTATGGGTTATATGTCGTAAGTACGAGTTAGCTGACGGAAGAGAGTTTTTTCACAATGTCCCTATTACAGCTTCGTACGTAGGGGAGAGTTGTAACGAAAAAAAGAAAATCCGAAACTTCCTGATGGCAGGCCACGGGGAATTCTAAGAGCAATGGGAAGCTGGACATAACTTGACGGTTGGCGATGCTATAATATGGCCCACACATTATGTTCAATAACTCTCTACATATAATAGAGACTTTTATGTCCCTAGCTTACATGTACTTTCTAAAGTTCAGTTTGCTTTATTCATAAATACCTGAGACAGTCGAAAACATAGAACTCTCGGCGATTTCAGGAATGTCCTTTTAACATTTCTTATTAGCCTTGTCAATCATCGCTAAGCCGGCATCGCAAAGCATGGGTTACTACCCAGCATCAAATGCTGTCGATGGCGTCATGTCTACATTCTCACACGGAGGTAAGACGTTCAGTACATGTTATGAAGTATAATGAATATCGAATGAAATTACCCGTAATTCAACAGTAAACGCACTGTCAAACGGGTTGCCAACACTCGGTTACGGGTTTCCTCTTTAATGATGGTGATCGTAATTTCATCACGAACGTCCCGTAAATTTAACGGTAATTTGCAGTAAAGTAGGAGCACAAAGTGGGGTGGCGTCGGGGCTGGGTGCAGGGGTGGGGAGGGGGATAGGTTCCAGTTACGACAGCTCAGAGTGGGGTATCCATACGCTCAGCCTACACGCCTCATTTTAGGTGAAATTATAAGTTGTTACATAACTTGCGTTGTAACTGACTTGTTATGTAATTTTCATTTACAACTGTTTACTGATCTCACAGAAAGCGGTCGGCCCATTGCCGGTTAACACCGCAGAATTAGTTGCTTGGCTCTCCAAATTCTGCAATATCAAAGCATTACGGCTTTGAAAGCACAATGATCAGCTATACGAAGCACAGCTTTCAAAAAGGCGGTTGTGAGAGTTTGAAAGGGGAGGGGTTTTGAAAAGTTACGAATACAAAAGCATTGTGAGTCCCAGCCTGCGTCAGGGCACGTTCTTTCTTGTGACGGTTCGAGCAAAAACGGTAATAAACCGTAAAAGTTACGGGAAATGGACAGTGTTTTTACGGGTTTTGTTAACAGTGTAGTCATCACCTTAACTCGCATAATTTGGTCCTCTTCTTTTCTTTTGTTCCCATTATCCCTTTCTTCATTGCGGGTCATACTTCCTCACCTTTCTTCTGTTCCTATGCCCGGTAATCATTAAATACATTATTGTCGTTGTTATCGTCGTTGTCACTTGTCACAATCAAGTCGAAAACACAACACTGACTTACTTAAGCGTGTCTCCTCTCCTCATACACAGCTGAGGGTGGCGACCCGCATCCTTGGTGGCGAGTTGACCTCGTGACTGAACACTGCCTGGGTGAAATCTCCGTCACTACCCGACAATCTTGTTGTGGTAATGCCCACATGTTGCTTGTGTCACAATAAACTCAAAATGTGTCATGCAGTGCGAATTCGAATCCCGGGGGGGGGGGGGGTTCAATGTCCCTACGCTGCAAAAAATGTGGTGTTAATTTAACACCATTCTGTATGTATATAGGATAACACCAGTAAAGTGTAACACCAGATGATCCTATATAGATACCAATGGTGTATATTTAACACCGCAGTTTTTGCAGTGCACTTTCCTGGGGGATCCATAGGACTTTTTCCGATTTCGCGTGTATAGTTTGGGGGCGTAGAGTGGCCTGTTAAATAGGGAAAATATGGGTTGTACAGGGTGTATATAAAAAAGGAAACCCACTGTAAATGTAAATTATAACAAATCTAATAAATATTTCCAGATAAATTAAAGATCATTTAAAACACCAATGTGCCCTCTTCCCAATGATACCTTGATTGTGTGTCTGTGGCCACGGATGACTGCGCATTCTTTGTTATTCTATCAATTGTCAAAACCTGCACGGGGCCAAGTTTGTGCAAAAGGGTAACTGGTATTCTGGGCGTGCGGAAACGGCTTAATTTAAAGAAAGAAGACACCCTTTTCTTTAAAACAAATTATGAAATGTTGACACAGTGATTTATTGTTGAAGTTAACCCCTCATTGCCAAAGCCTTCAACGTGGCCACCACCTCTTTCCACACAAAGCTCTGCACGAAGTCTAGTCCATTTTAACCTGCAATCTTAGCCAATTAAAACGTGGCCCAATACAGGTTTTGACCCTTGAGAGAAACGAATGCTCAGTCATCCGTGGTCACATACACACCCACAAGGCATCACTGGAAAGAGGACACTTTGACGTTTAACAAAAATATTTATCGGATTTTTTTATAAGTTACATTTACATGTGGGTTCCTTTTTTTCATACACCCTGTATTTCCAAGTTGGTCAGCATCAGAATGTCATATCACACGTCACACAACGGCACTATGTTGACATGCAATAACCCTTCCCTCAGCATTGCCTTACTATCCAAAGTCGTTATTCTTATCTGCTAATATACAACAACTAAGTTGAATTTCTTATCCCAAAAAATCCCAATGCTATAATTTGGTGTATGGCAGAGACCCAATCATCCCTACACTCTAAAAACAACATTGGTTAACGTCACCAATCATTGGTTGAAATAACCAAGAGTGTTGTGTCCAACCAATCGGTTGGTTGGACGCATAAAAACAATACTAACAAATTGTTGGTTATTTCAACCCATGATTGGTTATGTTAACTAATCTGCTTGTTGTATCGTTTCCAAATAAATCGACCTAAGACCAGAATACTTTATAATGCATATTGGGTTTTGCCCTTCACTGATGTATTTTTATTTATCAACACTGCATGGTTGTCCGTGGGCTTTGAGGTTCGGGTCTGATAAAGGAAAAAACCAAAACAAACTAGACATCTCACCGACGCAAATTCCATCTTATAAAAAAATATTTATCTAACAGAGAAATAGGCGTCGATGTAAACAATTTAAAAATTGTGTGCTTTCATTGTACATTTACGGTTGTGGCAAGCCTTCTCTCAGAGGTACACTGTGTTCATTCGTTCCTCAAAGGCGAGTATCGCTTCACGGGAGCGGTAGCTCGAGCGGGCCTGAGCCCAAACTACACCGAGAACCAACCGTGCGGCTCACCGGCCACAAGAGCCCAGTCCACCACCGGGGCGACGCATGTGTTCCTGTGTGATGCGCCAAGGATGGCTAGGTACGTCACCCTGGACATAGACCCGTCCAACCCCGATGTAACAGACGCGCGCCTGATGCTGGCTGAGGTGACTGTGAAAGAATACACAGCCGGAGAATGTCCAAGTCTTGATGGTAAGACGATGGTCGCTTTTGGTATCTCCCTGTGGATGCCCTCACGGTGGGGAGCTTTTATTCAAATTTCTGACGATCAAACATCAGTGTCAGTTGCGTACAAATGCGAACAAAAACCTATTCGCATTGAGGGCCTAGGGCGCCCTATGCCAGCTACCTGTCGAACAAACTCCATCTACGAAGTCTTAAGAGGGCCGTGCAATGAATTCACATTGAAACCCATTCTTTGCAATTTTGCTTTTAAAGCTTTTCTCGTTTTTGAAAGTGCATTTTCCCATATTCCTTTTGACAACTGACGCTTTGGGACATGGTGTCGACAACACTGGAGACAACAAAAATTCTGGCAACTTTTTATACTGAAGTACATGTAGTTGTAACACCCTAGCTTCTGCCAGTAAATGAATACTTTGTTTTACTTGTGAATATTGAACGTCGTGTGAATGAAAACCATAAAGGCCCGTGAACACCCTTAGAAAAAAAACCAAACCAATACATTATTATACCGCCGGATAGTGGATGAGGACTAATTCTGAAGTTAAATTGAACACCAAGGTTTGAGGAATCTATTTTTAAAAAATCCACTACATGGACATTTTAGAAATTGCCGGCTAGTCAGTGAGTCGCTACTCGACTAAATTCTTGGCCAGCGGGAGAGAGGAATAGTAGATTTAAACTGTCGTCATTTTTTTCGAAGTAGCAATTTTTGTCATTTCTTTCTCAGGTCCTACTACGACTGTGGCTCCAACAACTAGGCAAACTAGCACCGAGTTCCCCAAGACCAGAAAATCCGGTTTGCAAATGCTGTATAAAGGAGGGCTGATCGGAAACTCCGTACCCCTGTCGACCAAGAAGGCCAAATCTCTTCTGAGGTGTGCCGGCTACTGCAGCAAAGATGCCCACTGTTTCTCCTTCGACTTCGCGCCAGTCAGCGGCCAATGCCGCCTGCATAACCTAAACTCGACAGATATAGAGATGTCGCCCAACGAGGACTCCTCAGTCTATGTTAAGAATATTTAGAAGAGTTGTGAATCGAACACAGCCGACGTGTGTATCTTATTGAATAACTAAGTGTGCCTTTTATCGTTTTTAAGGTATTATATTAACCCGTTAATCTACACTCTTAATATCTTAAAATTAGCATCAAATGTAGATGATTTGGAATAATAAGGCCTTATAGCCAGTCGCTCATCAGCTATTTCTGTCTTTATTTCATTACAAAAAAATAATATATTTGAAGAAAACATTTTGTGTGTGTGAATATGTAACATTTGCATTGCCCGTCTATTGGTTGCATTATATTAAAATGCATTGTTAAAATTGTGTATACTATAGAGTTTAGAGTTTCTAAACACTTAATTTTATATCGCGTGTCTGTCAGCTGAATCACGAAGAATGTAGCGCCACCTCCAACAGCCATATGGTTGCGATGGGCGATTTCTAAAGGTTACGTAACACTTCATTTTAAATGAAACTACGTATACACAGACAAGGTCACGTTGGCGGGTGAAATCTTTGAAAATTAATTTTTCCAGTTTGGAAGACCGTATCTTTATGCAACTTTCAGGATTTATTTCCCCTATAATGATCAAAGTATGCTAAAAGTCGCTGTGATATGTTCATTACTTTTCGTTGAAATTGGAAAAATAGGCCTCGCTGCGTACAATTTTGAAAATTGTAACACTGGCGTGCACAATATCTATCAATCTTTTCAAGCCTCAGGAATATTACTGAGGTTCCTATCCATTACGGTGTGCAGTAAACAATTGGATAAAAGCCTCCTTCACGAGTTGTTAATTAACAAATATCACCCTTTTGCTGGCTTCCATTGGTCGATACCGAGACCCTCGCCATGTCACGCCGAGTGACGCTACTGCATATGCTATTATGCCCGCATCATCATCGTGTGCTGGGCCGAAATCGGTCAGCCGTAGCGCCTACGGCGCTTTGCTGAATAATGCACATGGGTTGGGTCGGCAAATCATTTTTTTTCATCCTCTTCGAAATATTCCATGGAGATGGTTCACGTTGTAACACAAGCGTTTGCAACAACAGATTAAGCTGAACTTCAGAATATTCTTAGATGATGTAAGTGTTCAACTACTCGTAAAATAACACCTGGGATAAATGCCTAGAAATTGGGATAAATACATACATTAATTGGGGAAGTTTTCGAACGATTTCTTCCAGACTTGAAGGTCAGCTTTGACAGTAACCAGTAATTAGGTTTCAGCATCGATGACGGCGATTTTTTTCACTGACATGAAGTTTAGAATTTCTTCTTCAGTTAGAATGTGACATTTCAATCATACAGAGCCTACTTTCTGAGAAACACAATGTTCAAAATGCCATTCGGGGAGTGCATGAATTTCGCTGCTCCATTATAGCGTCTATAAGTACGTAATCGGATTAGCTTTGCCTAACAACGGCGACGCTTTGCGTTTTGCACCCATATGGCTGATAAGGTCCGTTATCTAGCGTCCTTTTTTAGGGGTGGGGGTGGTGGTTGAAACTCGAAATTACACCGACGGTCCATCTTTAATGATAAACTAATAAGAACAATTCAACTGTTAATGAGAAACTATAGAATAACGGTACAGCTTACACGCATATTTGCTTCTTTTTTTTTTAATAAAACGGTGGTATATCATCCTTGCATAAAACAAAATAGCAAAATCATTTTATTTTCAACAGAACACACAAGGAACAGTTATTTCACTGTAACTACAATTATTATCTCCGCAAAGGAGGTTATGTTTTTATCGGCGTCGGTTAGTTAGTTTGTTTGTTTGTTGGTTGGTTGGTTTGTTAGCAAGATAATTCAAAAAGTTATTGACTGATCTTGATGAAATATTTTTAGGGGTGGTCCTTGGTACAAGTACAAATTCGATTAGATTTTGGAAGTGATCCGGATATGGGTCTGGATTCAGGATTTTTTAAAAAGGATTCTTCACCATTTATGCGAGTATTTCTTTTGGGTGTATTGACAATATGGCGGGGAATTCTTTAGCCTTGCCGGAGGTTTGCGCTCCTTGAGTGCTTTCTAGTTGATTATAAAAGCGTTTGGTTTTGTTCACTAAATGAAAACAAAATACTTATTTTTTAAAAATAGTTTTTAAGTTTATCGATACATTTTTTTTTAAATATAGGTTTTCCCTGCCAATTTCGCAAAAATAGCATTCGAATTCATCTTGATAGTGGCAAATTTGAAGCGACGTAGCGTTCTGCTGTCATTCCCGTGGTTCGTATTAGATTTCAGGCGTTCAAATTCGTTTTAAGACCTGACATTTTCATGTTTAACACATCCTAAATTGAAGGTATGTCATTCGGTTTAAGTGATCATTCAATTTAGCAGTCGGTTTGGTTTAGGGTTATTTGCATCAGATTCTTGTTTTCGTTTTCATTTCCGCGCATTCTATTTTTCACTTTTTGCATTCAAAATAAAAGTGAACGAAAGTAGACGATGCGAGTCTTTTCATTTCTTTTACCCTTTCAATTTTTTTTCTGTTTCAGGTCGTGGTCCATTTTTGTTTTTCTGGCCCCTCCTCTTCGCAGATTTTTCTGTCTGCGAGATCTGAGATACGTTGCTACAATTGACCTGTCAGTTAATCTGCTTATGACACGCTTGTCTGCAAGTTCAAGATAGTCTTGGGCATTGCCATCGAAAGCTTCGATCTAACGAACAGGGTCTACATTTGAATTCTCTTGTCACGCCCATTAGCCGGCATTTTGATGTTTCTAGTGCTTCAATCTAACAGTTTGCATGGTGATCAGAGTAGTCGCAGAGTCTTGTTGGAAATGTTTACATCTATATTTCCAAACATGGGCGTCCCCAGGATTTTTTTCTAGAGGGGCTAAAACATATTTCCCCCCAAAATGCCTGTATTTCCCATCATATTCTCGATTTATCAGTTTTAGAGGGGGCACGGACATTCCCCCAACCCATTAAATACAGCAATATGACTTCGCGCCTCTTTTTCTTTTCCTCCCCCCCTTTTTTAGGAGGGGGGGGGGGGGGGGCGGAGAAAGCGCCCCTGTCCCCCTCGTGACGCCCTCGAATTACTTTGCTTACTTTTCACATAATTATGCTTGCTTAATGGTGAATTCGAATGACCAAACTTACACAGCTTGAAGCTCCGGCGAATTTGGATGCTCGTTTGTGCAATTTTGATTTGAATGCCCTATTGTTGAAATGGCATGATTTAAATGTGAAATCGCATGCTTTTAATATGAAATTGATTGGTGTTTTTAGGTAATTGAATGTTGATCTCAACGTGCATTCAAAATCGTGCGAAAATGAGTGCTTGGTCACCAATTTGGCCGCCAAATCTGCTAACTTGGCCGGGAAAACCTATAATTGAATAGTGAATTTGCCGATAAAAACTATCGATTTGATTGTAACACTTAATCTGCAGAATATGTTCATAACAATAATTTTGCCATGATATTTTCAAAGTTACAAAAGTTATATTCCAATATTATCAATGTTTGTTTCAATTGAAAATCATGTTTAATCAAACCTAAAAGGCTCCGATTTTACCTTTAGAAGACATTCACCTATAGACTTGTACACAAAAAATCCTACAATGACCACTAACGCCCACTTGATATACCCTCACCAAACTTTGTTAATTTGTGTTCTTGCATCACGAGGACTAACTCGATTTATTCGCTATTTGTGACATAGGAATTGAGATGTTAGGTAGACATTCGAATGTCTCCTTATAATCTATCTTTTTTTCTGGATAAGTGCTCCTTTTTGGTGTTGCCCCCCCCCCCCCAGTTTGAAAAGACTTTCCGCCGCCCTGAACAAAAAGAAAGCATCAGAACAGTCGGCACCTGAATAATGGCTCGAAGAATTGCAAAGAATCTTTAAGTCAGCAAGTCTCGCTTTCGTGGTCTACGTTCAACCTCGATATATTATTGGATCTGTATCGTTGGTCGCGTTACTTCTGACGTGTATCCGCCCCCCCCCCCGCATTTACTGTACTAGTCGAATCGCCCTCATAAACATTGTTATCTCTTTCCATTTTGCTAATGTTCATATTAATAGTGCACTACTGCTCGTTTGACAGGTAAAAATATCACACTCAGCGAACCGAGTTGTGACGGATTCGGCTGTGTAAATTAAAAAATGTCCACTGTTTGTAACTGACACCGACATTATAGACAAATTAAGTAAAACTTAATGCATTTTATGGCTGACTGGTCTCGCTGTTAGCACAGCGTATCCCGTTAAGAAGGGCGAGCTGTGCAACGTGGCAGACAGTGCAAGATTATATAATAGCGAAGTAAATGGAAATTAAAATCACAAAAGCCGAAATTCTCAAGAAATGCAGGGTGTGGTGAAATACGGCAGTAACAATTTTGGCAGCACAGAGAGAACCGCCATTTGAAAGAAGAACAACTGCGTCACCTCCTCCACCCCTCCTTCCACACACGGCATCAAGCCTCTGGGGTTAGGAGTCCTTACAAAGAAACAAATGTAACAAGAAAAATCTCTCTCTCTCTATATATATATACAGATAGATAAAGTGAAAATAACAGGGTAAAACATTTAGTTAAAAGTTTTTGAAAAAAGAAAAGAAAAAACAAAAAACAAAACGACAACAACAACGAAGAAACAGTTGATAAATTAATACTTGAATTGAATTATTTGGTACATTGACCAAAACATAATGTTTATCAAGTTCAGGGCTAGTGGTGGCGAGATGGCCCTCCAAAACAGCCAAGAATAGGTTAAAACACAGAAGTAAATTCATAAGAGAATAGTTGACAAAAGATAAAGAAATATTACCTGTAAATAAATTACTAATTAAATTAGCTTAGTTAGTACATGGAACAAAACATAATGGCAACAAAGTTCAGAACTATAATTGAAAAGAAAAAGTGTTAGTATCCAAAGGTTGTAACAATGCAACAAAAATTAGTGATTAAAGAAAAGAGGAAATATTTTCAGAGACAACAAATATAAAAGAGATCAGATGCCAAAGATGGTAAACTTAGTAGATATGTACTATGTTAATTATCTCGTTAAGTAAGTAATATTTAACTTAATTGATTATTGTGTAAGAAAAAGAAAAAGAAAAGAAAGGACTCCTCAACCCCAAAAGGTCGAGCTATAGCTAATGATGCTTAATTGTGTGAGAGACAAGTAAAGCAATAAATAAGTTGTTATTAGACATGCATTTTCCAGGACAGTGGCAATTACATAATGCTTACAGTATTAACACAAAGGTTCCGTCTCCTTAGCTTCGCTGTGCAAGTCCCAAGACATTTTGCAGCTGCCCAATTTATACAAATTAACAATTCTCGATAGAATGATATGAAGTTTCAAAAGATGAAGTTTCAAAGTGAGTTGTCTTCTGACGATGAGGCTTGAAGCACTATAGCGATTACCTTGTCAACGTGATGCGGGACATTGATAGCTCAAAACAAAGTGTCGCACCATATAGTTCTTTTTTAGTTAGGTTAAGCCCCAATATTGAACAGAAAAATGAAAGATGATGAAATAAGCTTTAATTTGATGTGTGTCTCAAGAGTCTGTAAGTCAATATTTTTTTTATTGAATTTCGGAAGTGGGCGTATTTACACTGGGCCGGGTCTATGACAGTTTATTATTACTGCGCCATCCAGAAACTTCCGACATTAACCATCAGGAGAGGGCGCTAGTACGCGTACGGTGGCGCGCCATGGCATTTTTCGTGTGTGCGACGGTCGACAGTGCACCGTAACCACTACTTTATTTTACCATAGGATTGCTACTTTCTTTTCGAAAATTTAGTCACCTTTTCATCAACCATGTCCGCGAGATTTACGGTGTCAAAAGCACCGGATGACATAGAACTCGATGGCGCAGGGAAGACTCCGGAGGTGGAGATAATCGGCAATGAACCCGGCAAAGAACAGTCGTCAAAAAAGTACGGTAAGTTGTAAAGGCTAAAGCGAGTTACGGAAATGGCGTGTCAGGGCGACAGGAGCCGTGGGCTGTGGCTGCAGATGGCACCCCACTGACACTGCGTCAACCCACGCTGTATTGTACCTGTATGTACATGTTCTACTGAGTACTAGATAGCCCAAAAAATGTGGCCTATTTACTGGACTACCTCCATAAATAAAGGCCAGGCCACACCCACACCGGGAGGACTTGATCTAGCCGGCTACGGAGTCACGGTTGATTGCCCCATGGAGGTTTATTCCTCCATGATTGCCCTCAACATGAACAGCGCTACATACATGTACATGATGTATGTACTATGCGTTATGCTCCACTAGTCCCACTCCGTATCCTCGTAGCTGCCAACAGGGTAGTTGGTTTGGACTTAAAAATTTTCAGCAACTCCCATTCATTTTGTGTTGCTTCGTTCTCAAGGACCCCCACTCAGTATCCGCGTAGCTGGCAATGCAATGGACTTGAATTGTTTCTTTTCCAGTGATTCCAACCTCGTAGCCAGAGAATTTAGAGGTTGTATTTCCGAGTGGCGGGTATTCTGCAATTACTCCGGACTTGTGTTACCAAATTTATTTTCACATTCAGACTGCGTGCAAAGGCCTAGGCCTAGCTCAATTTATGTTTTCAAAATACACTCACCCTCCATAAATTAACAAATCAGAACTTGCTGCATTTGTCAGTTGTCCAGCTTTTGCGTAATTTCCAGCCGAATGTGGATTTTTCTTGGCATTTCTTTTACCACCTCACACCCAGCAGCAACCTAGGGGAAACACTGGTTTGTGAGTAACTCAATTGCAACCGTGTTCCAGCTGAACCAATGCCCACGCGCTAATCCTTTCTGTATAGTGCGCCCTCATGCGTATACCGTCAGCGAGCTAGCTGTACGATGTACGTACATACATGATATACTGCTGAGGCAGCGATCCCGTTCCTGTATACGGTTGGTCACAATTGATAAGTATGCCAAACACATGAAAGCGAAGAAACAGTCTTCTACTTGCAAATTGTTACAGCTGTGCCTTTGCTCTTGCAACGAGTTTAACCCAAGGTTTGTTGTAATTGCAGCATTTTGGCTGTGAAAATTGTCGGATTAGGCAACATTACTTGGTTTGAAGCCGATGTTAACTCTTCTTTGTTCCCCAATTTGTTGGTTTTGTTAACCATTGTGTAACTGCTTTCCCTCCGTGTTTACGACCACAGCTCGTTTAGTTGATGGCCGGAACGATTATTATGGCAGTGTGAACAGTAACTGGAGTAAGTGTGAATCACGTCCACAGTTCCTTTTGCAAATCTGTTGATTGTGCATGGGCGAAGCAAGGGGTCTCTTTGACAACACTTTTTTTTGGTCCTTTCCATTAAACAAACTTATCAACAGGATAACAGCCATAAAGGCACTGAGATAGTATTTCAAGTAGAAAAGTACTGAGAGAACTAACATAGTGTGATTTCCTTTGTTTTGTGTATGTCTGTGTTTTGCTTTATTGTACTTTTGCTGCATGTCTGAGTAGCCTATATACACAACTTTTGAGCTTCCAATCTTCGTGGTTTTTTGTTTGTTTGTTTTAAGGGACCACACCCGATGACTCTGTGGTCTGTAGTTCAGGCATGAGTATTAAAAACAGACTTTACATCATTATGAGAAAGGTTTGTTAACTGTAAGAACTCGTTTCGCTAAATAGTTTACGAAAAATTCTCAAAAGTGAGATAAATGGACAGTACAATTCCTTTTGAAACAAAGTGGTAAATTTAACAAACCGTATGTATAGTTCAGACGCAACATGCTTAAAGAGACCTCTTGCTTATAGTCCCGGGTGTGCTGGTAACCGTGCATTTTGTGAGTCCAGTCTCTGCTTGAGTAGATTTAGAAACCTGCAGGGAACCAGTGGTGGTCACACTGTTGATCCCATTTAACACAGCATGATGTGTCTGTTCCGTCTCTCGATGTTGAGCATTTTGAGATTCTAAAACCAACGCGAGAACTGGTGGACAGTTTCTGCTCTGTGCATGGTTTTGTTTGAAGGGTGGGGAGAACATTTCTGTGGAATGCATCTTGTTTTCAGATACAGAATCCATATTATTTATTTATTTTTTTGTGCTGCCGAGGATCCAGCCATCTATTGAGTTTTGGAAGACTGCTGCATTTAAAAACACTTTATTGAAATGTGCACTGAACCTCTGGTGACATTTTTACTTTATTTAAAACTACATCTTTTCGTTTCTCAACATCTTGGGCCTTCGATGAAGATGTAAGGTCTCAAAGATTATTATTTTTTTTTTAATTCATGTACATTGTACTTTTGCCTTTGTGCAAATGATACTTGACATTAATATAAGAAAAACAAATCCCAACGCAAAAAGACTTCTGTGAAGAAGTAAGGTACTGGTACATATATAGTATTTTTGTTTGAGGTGGGGGGGGGGGGGGGTTGGGCTGAAACAGCACTCTCAACTTATCATGTGCAGAGCAGAGCAAGTTACAGCACAGTTCGGTGAAGTACGGTATCTATGTGTATGACATACTGTAACTAACTTTTGGTTACTGTTCACAATGGCTGTATATAATGTGGTGGAATGAGTACTAACACTACTTTTAGCCTTTTCATACCGTCATAGCCGTCTTGCCTACGGTACCTTTGGTGAAATCAACATGGTTAGGTAAGATGTACCATTCATACTTGCGGTCTTTTCACACTGACGTCTCTCCTACCCATGTTAAAATCAACACGGGTACCAGTAGGTAAGGCATACCATTCATACTTGCGGTCTTTTCACACTGACGTCTCTCCTACCCATGTTAAAATCAACACGGGTACCAGTAGGTAAGGCATACCATTCACACTTGCGGTCTTTTCACACTGACGTCTCTCCTACCTGTGTTGAAATCAACACGAATCCACTGTAACTTAAGCGGAACGGGGTCCCTTTGATAACGGGTACTGGCAAGGCGTAGCGTTCACACTTACACAGGTCTGTGTTTACATGGGTCAGCCGTAGATTTTGGATTTTCTACCGTGGTAGAGCCCCTCTCAAACCCTGGTCCTAACCAGGCTTGGAGTTGACCCATGTAGAATGCCAGACCCGTGCAGAAGCAATGTTAGATTCTTGCTAGTGTGAAAGGGTGCCCTGAAATCTCAGGATGTATGACCCAGATCCAACACTTGGTGTGAATACTGAAAAGGCCTTGTGATACCATGGACTGTGTGTAGGCAGGAAGTGTTCATTGTGTACATGTAAGGTGAAGGCCTCTGAGTTTCAAATGAATGACTGGTTTTCAACCAAACAGGGAAAAATGTGGCAATGACACTTCAATAGTCCTTCCAACGAAACAAAACAAACCCTGTTTTTCAAAAGCAGTTGTTCTTTGCATTTTATCACTGAGCGTCTTTTTTTTCTCAAGTTATTAGGCCCCCTATCCTCTTTAAAAAAAAATGTAAAGTTTCTAGTTTGTTATATTTTATTTGCATATATCTGGATTGTAGGGTACCGTAGCTAGGGTGGGAAGTTAGAAAAGATAGACAGGCATGAGATTTTTTAGACTTTATTTCTGAAATCAGACCTTTTGAATCTGAGAGAAAGACATTATCAGTATCGAAAGAAATGCATCTTTCAGACCTTTCATCCAGTTTCTATACCTACAATGTATTTCACACAATCTCATCCCTGGATACGAAGAGAAAAAAAATACATTCACCCCAAAATACTGTATTGAGTACATGATGCATGTTGGATCTTGGGGCACTCTCTAGGTGGAAAAAGCAAAATAAAAGCTGTACATCACTCACTCTCTCTCACTCTTGACCAGTAACCCCCTTGCCTGCAGGCAGGCAAGCAGAAATCTCCAGCCTCTTCTGTTCTGCGTTATTCGTATATCCCTGAATCCCTGAATAATCTTGAAAGATGCTCCATAAATGCAGGAAAAGCATCTTGATTTCTCCATTCTGCTACATGTACATGTAGCTAAGCCCCTCCCCCACCCTTGAGCTTAACCTGTATCCATCCCATGTTTTTACTAGGGCTAGGAAACGATCAGTAGAAATAAGAATCAATAAGGCTGGAGACCTCTCCGGGTATATGTACAGCAAGACATCTGAGTAAACAGTGCTTCAATGTTGCACACTGTGTGTACAAGCAGCTTGCAGAATGCCTGCATTTTTAACTTTTCTATCACCCTTTCTATAGCGCCATGTTTCTGCTAACACCAGGCTCTACACAGATGAAATTGCTTGACAAGTTACAGGAAAAAAAACACCCTCTAGCACAAAACCAGTCTGAAATCGCATGGCCATATTTTGAGATATGCCCTTTACTTGTAAATTACAATGTACATCGTGCAGGCCAAAATTATCGAAATTCAGATTAAGGCATTGGAAGCTAGAATAATGAACATATTTCAATTCCAGTGAAGTTACCGGTAATTTGTATATTGCCTGAGAAGTTCGTTTGGGAAACTTTTACCACAAATTTCTCAATTTTTAAAAACCTTCCAAGGTCCAAACATTGGGAACTGAAAATAGCTAGACAACGTGTCAGATTTTGTCCGATTCCCATATGCTACAGCTTATTCATTGTCGTATTTCCAATGAGGCCAAAATTCCAGGTTTTTTTTTAGAATTGGTACACGTGACTCTCTGTGTGCTGAACGGTCATGTTACATGTACAAGTCATGTTGTGCATTTATACAGCGTGTCAAAAAAAAAAAAAAAAACCAAAAACCTCAAAAGCATCCTCTTTTTCACAGCTTTTAAAATAAATTCATCGCAAATATATATCTAAACATATAAAGAGAGTATAGTGCATTAGTTTTCAACAATGAAAAACCTTTATCAGATAAATATTTATTGAGTTACCGCCAATTCAAAATATGTGCCAATTTTTTAATCTGTCCATGGTGTCAATTGTCATTTGTTAGGAATGTAATGGGTTTGGGGTGAATGTAGTTTTGTTTTCTTTAAATGTTTTAATCTTTCTTCATGTATTTTGTTCATTGAGTGGTTGGGTACCGCTTCACGGTATGATCACAAAACCTTGTGTGAACTTGTACCATGTTACGAAGATGTTATAAATTTTGTTACGTCATCATGACGTCATCAGGTATCAAATTACAAGCGATTTAAAGGCAAATTTTGACAAAATAGTTTGCGTTATATCTTTTGAACTAAATAGAGTATTTTTTCGTGAGGTTGTAGACTATGCTGTGAGAAACATTTTGTGTTCCCAGACACAAAACCGCTTGACCTTTACTTCCGGTGTTACCAGAAGTGCAATAAAAACTGAATATAACTCAAAACCGGAATCATTTTACTACAGACACATATATTATGAAAGTGTTTAGTGAGGAATGCCAGACACAAAAACAGTGTGATGACGTCATCATCCCAAAGGGCGCCCCCTAGCGGCACATAAAATATTGTTTCTTTTCTTTACTGTTAAAACCATAGGTTCAAATTTTACCAAATCGACCCTTGATATTCTTTGATTAACCATAGATAACTTGGCAAGGTTTCAAATTCATGACGTCATCAGACCGGAAGTGTACCTTTATGAGAATTTGCCAACGATCATATTTTAAATTTAATTCTATCATTTGATCCATGTCGTATATCTTAGCCCAAATAACGATACCATTACAATGTTCACCTTTTGCTTCCAAATACTGTGACGTCATCAAACCGAAAGTTTGGTGTTATGAATGCATACACTTATATTTTCCATATTTTCATACGTTATTTAACTTCACAATGAACATCCACTCCGAACTAAATCAGTATTCACTTCCCGTTTTTGACTAATGATGTTATCAAGCCAGAAATAACTTGTATGGGTACATGGAATCCAGGAAAAGATTTAATTTCCTGATACTTTGTTCTTACATAAAAATATTCATAACTTAACTGGACAGTGTTTCATAAAATAGTTGTCTACCCGACCACTCTACATTTGTAACAACAAATGCGAACCTCTAGTTTTATTTTCAATATTCTTTTTTTGCAGCAATGGTCATTTATCCTTTTGGAAGTAATGGTAGTCCTGTAAAGAACTGTTTTGTTTAAAATCTCTCAGATCATCTTGCTGCTCTATCTCTGCCCTCTACTTGGTAGCCTTTTTAAAAAAAGAAGAAGAAGCAAGGTTCAGTCCCTGTTCTTAGTTATTGCGGCAGTCAAATATCAGTCGCCGTGGACAAAATGAAAATTCCGTACTTGTTTTCAATTGGCCATAACTCAATAAATATTTACCCGATCGGGACAATTTTGTTA